AAGTTAACTCAGAATTAATGGATCACTTATATAAAATAATGGACAGTTTGAGAGCGAATCACTGTTGACCAAAGTGCTGCACACAAAACCATCATTAAAAACTAAACCCACCACAGACACCTCAAGAAAGAAACAAAATATAATAAAGTAAGGTAAGACATAAAATGTTTTTATTTCTTAAATCAAATCAGAGCATGATTAGTAGCTAAATAAAGTCTTAAGGCAAACATGTAAACAGTCAATAACCCTGTTTTCATCCCCCTCACCACCACGTACCCAACCATTAATACATGTTAATATTCTGCATATTTCTATTTACTGAATACATAACAGTTAAAATAATCACCTCTTTGTGCAGACTGCTGCCAAATGCACCCAAAAGCATTGCCACGCAGATAATAAAAGGTATTGTTGCAAACTGTTGAAAAAAAGAATGAAAGACAATAAAAGGTAAACCCGCACCTCGTGCGCATGTTACCTGTTACAAACTATCAAATCTACAACAAATACAGTCAAACCAATCAAACTTTATTTTCTGGATGAGGTAAACAAGTGGTATTTATTGGTATTCGTTCTTTCATAGAAACGTTTTATTTTGAAATATACTCATTGTCTTTCATGTCTACATGAAGACGAAAACTTCCGACGGTTCAAATTCTCATATTTTTATTCTTATTCTCAAATTATTTACATGATAAATGAGACAACAGATCCTACTTGCACCGTTATATTCTAACATGCTGTTTACTATATTTCTTTTGGACCTTGTAAATATTATATTTCCTTTTCACTTTTTGGTACTTTATTCTGTGCCCTTATTGCATGCTTTATTATTCGTGTTTTTGTTGTTATTAGTGAGTCGAATCAGTTCTTCTCATCCTGAACATTTCATTGCACTGTTGACCTTGTGTTAACCTGCATATGACAAATAAACAACTTAAGATTGAGGAAGTAATTTGGGTTAAAACATACATATGTTATCGTTCACAGCAGCTGTAAGACACTCAACACTTAAGTTTCCTAACTGGTCCTCTTGTCTGCTGGGCTGGCTCTTTGTCCTTGTGCTCTGGAGTTTCAGACACCCACTGGGTGTAGCTCCATTTATAGGTTTAACAAGGCAAGCTCCCATTACACCACATATTTTGTGTTTCCTACATGCCGAGTTTAAACTTACTATTATTGCTTGTATTCCCACAGACGCCACTGATCACCTAAATAACACATTTCATGTTCTTGTAATCTGGGTTTATTAAGTTTAGTGTAAAAAAAAAAAGTGTGTTTTTTTCTTTTGTCCTTAGATCTGGGGCGGCTGTGGCTGAGTGGTTAGAGCAGTCATTCTCCATTGCAATAGTTGTGGGTTCAATTTCACCAGGAGTCACATGCTGAAGTGTCCCTGGGCAAGACACTGAACCTCTCATTGCCTCTGATGTGTCCCATCAGTGTATGAATGTGATAAAGCTCTGATTAATCTTTGTAGAGATCTAGTAATGTATGAATGGGTAAATGAGGGCACAGATTGTAGTGTAAAGCACTTTGAGTATGTATAAGATAGAAAAACTTTATATAAATACAGTCCATTTACCACCTCTTTTTATTTTTAATGGCTTTGAGCCAGCTGTAACAAACTGGGGACTCGTCCATGAGAAGTCCTGAGATCAAATCCCACGAGCCCCTAAACTGCAGCCGATACTTTAATGACCCGGCCTGACCCCCTGTGCAGCTGAAACTCAGAATGCAAAGACAAAGAGTGAGTCCAGCAATGAAGAAGTGCAGAAACATCACTAAGAATTTACTTTTCAAGGCTAAACTATCTATTGACACCGGCTGCCATGTTTTCCTTTATTACATTTAAACTTTTCTAATATGATCTGACCATGGTATAATATATTACCATGTTGAAACTGTCTAAAAACATACAGTACATGTAAATGTTGTTACAGATTATTGTTGTATGAAACCAGGATGATGAGTTATTCCCTCTATGATTAATAAAGTAGTTCGAATTTAATTGTTGAGGCTGATTTTCTGACTCTGTAACCCTCAAAACGCCAAACACACTTTGTTTTACTTTAAGTGATTTTAGCTAATTATAGATGGAAAAGGACCACATTGATAACTCTCTAGTTAAATAAGTTGTATCCTTCAACCTATTGTGGCAGCTGTGGATATAAGAACCAAAGCGTAATTTTAGACAAGCAGCAGCAAAATACTTTGTATTTTATTATGCTATATTGTACAAACACATTGTTATAGAGCAATTATAGAGGTCAGAAATAAAACTGTCTCTACAGAAAACAATTTTTTACTAGATTGCGTTTACACACAAGCTATCACTAACCTAGCATCAGTTACAAGAAGAAGCAGTTTAACTCCCTTCAGCCACTGCTTCAAAAGGCAGTGATTTTAAATGTTTTTTGTAAATTGTGCGTTAATTTTTGCCAAGTGCTAACCATTCAGGCAAATAAGTTGCTAGAACATAGCTTAGTTTCAATGAACAGCCGCCATCATAAAAGTTCCTCAGGTAATGTTTCATATATTGTACAGGATCAACTGGAACACTGGCAGCTACGACTTCCTGCTCGTGGCTTTTTCAGTTTAAAAGCTGAAATTCTCCACAGCCTAGGGAGAAGCTGAGTTTTCTCATGAAGGTGAATAGTAACTGTACTTAACTCAGTATTAAAAAACAAAAACTGAAAAATACAACCAGATGTGGTTCAGCGTTATAAGAAAATATTCATTATTTAGTAACTAAAACTGTTTTTATTTGGACATGTGCAGGATCCACGAGCTGTGTAAGATGTATTTATTCTATAGGAAAATGTTTAGGGCACTTTTTTTGTGTATTTTACAAGTGTAAAACACATTTAAAGAAGCTATTCTTTACAATTTGTAATATTTTAAGCACATTTTCAAATGTTGACGTTTGGGTCAGTGCTAAATAGGCCTGTCACGATAAACAATAAATCAAATAATCGAATGATAAATGAAAAATTATCAGCCTCATTTTCATTTATCGGCTTTAGTGTTTCTTTGTGTCTCTGTCTGTACAGCTGCAGAAAGAAAAGCTCTGCAGAGAGTGGTGAAGGCTGCACAGAAACCTGTTGGAGTCAGTCTCCCCACCATCACAGACATCTACACCTCCAGATGCAGGAAGAGGACCACCTGCATCATGAAGGACCCCACTCATCCAACACACACACTTTTTGCCCTGCTCCCCTCAGACAGGAGGTTGAGGAGCATTAAGTGTAGAACCACTAGACTGAGGAACAGCTTCTACCCTGAGGCTGTTAGACTCATGAATCTCTAACCAGAATGATCACTGTGAAAAAAATCACGTTGCTGCTGATCTGTTTCATGTTGCTGCTGATCTCTTTCATGTTGCTGTGTTTATTCGTGCTCATCTGCTCACACAGACTCATGTTTGTGCTGCTGTTTGGCATATTGTTTTTATACTACTAGTGCTTAGTGCATTTTTAGTTAACATTTTTCTTAATTCATATCTTAGACCTTATTAGTTTTCTTTTACATTTTATACTTTTGTTGGATGTAACTGGGACTCTGTGTACACAATTTTGTTCCACCACATGTACCATTTGTGGTGAGTATGACAAATAAAGAACCTTGAATCCTTGAATACTCTCTCTCTCTACAGAAGACACTGGATGACAAAAGGCTCAACTCCGGTGCTCTTCACTGACCCCTTTTCTTTTATCTTTAAAATTTGTTTTAACTATCCAAAATCACATTTTTGGATCTTTGAAAGCAGCTAAGCTGAGAAGCTAAGCTAACAGGCCGACCTCGGGGGGCGGAATCTGTCTTGTCGAAGCTCCAAAATTCACGGTTGAACCTCGTGCCTTCATGCAAAAAGTTTTTCTTTGAAAGAAGAAGCTGAGAACTTGTTTACTGATTTTGTATTAAAAGGTTTGTGTGAAAAATGCTATGCTAAAGAATTCAAACCACACCGAGCGGCCGCCATTTTGAGAACCGAAGAAAGACGTCAAGAGGCCTCCCTCCCATTTTCATAAAGCGACACACTGCTCGCTCCCTCACTATCTATCCTTCGGTTCAAACAGCCTTATATTGCCACCTGGTGGTCAAAAAAGGTACATGCAAAGCAAAACAAACATTTATTCTTAAATTTGACAATAATTATTAATTATTGTCAAATTTCAAACAATATTATTGTTTATCGCTATAATTTCTGAAACAATTAATCGGCAAGTAAAATTTGTTATCGTGACAGGCCTAGTGCTAAAGTTTTTGCTCTGAATGTCAAACGTTCTAAATATAACAAAGAAAATTAACAGTTAGGGCAATAAACATTTGTTTCTAAATAAAATTTGGTTTTACAAAGCGCTGCAGTGGAGTTATTTATTTTTTTAATCTGATTGTTTCTCTACAGCAAAGTGATTTTACTTTGTGTGTTGTAAATATATAAAAAATATACATTCTTATGCAGTTTAACTTTATTTTTTAACTATTGTCAGTTAAACATAAACATACTCTGATGACGTTTTCATTTTATATTTTATATTGGCATGTGGCAACAGTGGAAATCTGTCAGAAAACTATTTTTACAATCGTTTAAAATTCATATTTTATCCTTACTCAAAAAAGGGGGAAATGAAAGACAAACTTAAACCCGGAGGCACGGTGGTAAAGTTGGTAGAGTGGTTGCCTCTCAGTGAGAAGATCACCGGATCAAATCCCAGTCAGAGCACTTTCTGGGTGGAGTTTGCATGTTCTCTCCGTGCATGCGTGGTTTTTCTCCAATTTCCTCCCACAGACCAACAACATGCATGTTAGCCTGATTGGTAACTAAACTGTCCCTAGGTGTGAGTGAGAGAGTGAATGGTTGTTTGTCTCGTTTGTCTCTTTGTGTCCATGTGATGGACTGGAGACCTGTCCAGGGTGTGCCCCGCCTCGCGCACAGTGACTGCTGGATATGGGCACCAGTGACCCGAAAAGAAAGAAGCGGGGAAAGATAATGGATGGATGGATGGATGGATGGATGGATGGATGGATGGATGGATGGATGGATGGATGGGAAAGATAATGGATGGAAATTAAACCCTAAAGCGTTCCCAGATTTTAAAATATCCACCAGTAGAGGGCAGTGTGGAGCAGAAGATAAATCCAGACATCTTCTGGAGCCTCTGCCAGAAGTCAATGAACTGTCCACCAAGTAACTATGACCAGTTTACAGTCTCACCTTTGACTTGTTCAGCTCTGGATTATGATGTTGGGTTTTCAATTCACAACCTTGTTTTTATTGCTTTTCCTTGATCAGGAACGCACACACACACACACATTAACTCCATCATGAAGAGTATTCCTTTTAAGACTGACAGTCTTTGTGGACACTTAAGAAACAGTTGGATCACAGATGTTTTCCTGTTTATCTTGACAACAAACAAACTCAGAGCAATTTGCACAACTTCTCCGCAGGTCGAGTCCTCTTGTTCTTGAACACACTGGTTCAAACATCCACCTCCCCTTCACAAGAACAAATTTAATTTGAGTTGAGTTTCAAGTGATCCACATTCATCTGTCCATGTGGTGCGAGTTCAAGTACTAACAATCCCTGTGTCTACAGATCTGAAAGACTCTTCCTGTCAAACTTGTGCCTCCTCCATCACCTCCATCACTATTGTTCTGGGCCCCGTCAGGATCAGGCTGCTGACGGTCCGATAGTCCTGACACAAGACGTTTAGTCCGTTCACCGACACCACAAACTGACATACCTGCAGACAGACGGAAAAAGAACAGGCTTTTTAAAATCATCTTTAAAATGTAATATGTTTGACAATAAAGTGAATAAAATGAAGACTTGCCCCCTCAAAACAGTCTTCTGATATTAATGAAATATTTGTAAAAAATGTTTCGGTATGTAGCAGTATGTGTGGTTGGAGAAAAGACGGCAGGCGTCGACACACATTTGCACAACTCACAAAAACTCGGAGTCAGATCAAAACAAAGACTTCGTCTTGCAGCCGACGGCAATCCTTGAGAGGGCATCCACTTCCCGGGACAGCATAGAAACCACCGGCCGCCTTTCTGTTGGCATCTACCTGGTATCTGAGAAAAACTACGACCCGGTAGAAGCTGTAACTTCCGTTGACTCTGCTGAGACCGTTTTGAGCGCCAGCTTACCGTGTTTTTCAGCGTATAAGGTTCAGCTTCTTTCAGCTTCCTTGTACAAATTTAAACTTTTTTCCAGCTACTTTTAGCTAAATTCAGCTGTTTTGTGCTCTTTTCAGAATCTTTCTTTCAACTACAATGTTTTTTTTTTTTGCTTCTTCTAACTTCTTTCTGCTATTTTCAGCTTATTCTGCTCCTTTGGGCTTATTTATGCGTTTCAGCTTTTTCTGCTATTTCAGCTACTATTTACTGTAGCTGTTCATGCAAAATTTAGCTCTTTAGGCTAATTCCACAATTTTTGCCCTTATTTAAATTTTTTCAGCCTAATTCAGCAAAAAATGTGCTCTCTCCACCTCCTTCTGGTAATTTAAGCTTCTTTCTGATTTTTTTTTTTAGCTACTATACAGTTGTTTTTTGCTCATTTCTACCTTTTTCAGATAATTTCCACTTTTTTGTGCTCATTTCTGCTTCTTTCGTCCTAATTGAGCAAACATATTCTTTTTGCTTTCTTCTGCTAATTTAACCTTGTTCTACATTTTCAGCTACCTTTTAAGCATTTGGCTAATTTCAGCTGTTCCTAGATAGATTCAATTTTTTGTGTAATTTCTGCTACTTTCAGTCAAATTAACTTCTTTCTGATCATTTCAGCTTGTTTAACTCCTTTCAGTTTATTTCTGCTAGTTTCTGCTATTTCAGCTACTTTTTTGCTGTTTTGTGCTAAATTGAGCTTTTTCATTTAATGTCACAATTTTTGGAGCTCTTTTCAGCTCTGTCCACTTCCTTCTGCCTTTTCAGCTACTTTTCAACGTTTTTAGATAATTTCCTATAATTTTTGTGCTCATTTCTGCTTTTTTAAACCCAATTCAGCAAATATGTGTTCTTTCTGCTTTCTTCTGCTAACTCAGGCTTGTTCTTCCATTTCAGCTAGATTTCAGCATGTTTTTAGCTAATTTCAGCTGCTTTTCAGCAAGTTCTTCAGCAATAAGCATTTACATTGCATTTTCGCAGGAAACGCAATTTTGCTAGTTGTAACTGTTGTTAGTGCAGAAAAACTTTTCACTGCAGTCATCTGTAATGGGCATGTGCGATTTCACACCAGTGGCATATTTCAGACCTCTGCAGGGGATCCCCTGAAAATCTCCACTCTGAAACCAGGATTCAGAAACCTTTGATTTCAGAGATCGAGAGCTGTCGTGTACACAAATGTCTGAACTGTGGCAGAAAGGATCTGGTTTCATTCAAACAACGCGTCGTGTAAACAGGGCCTTAGAGATGACACAGAGCCTGTTAGTGATTTTACAACCTGAAGTCAGAGATTTAGAGGGTGTAGCTTCTACTTTGGCCCTTTGCCTGGACTGAAGTGCCAACACTTCACAGGTCTGATTACATTCTCCTCTGGCCTGTGTATCTGAGTCATTAAACATCAGTAAAGCTGCTCAGATAAGATGAGCCTTCTAGGAAGTGCAGGTATTTAAACCTGTAGTACGCATTTCTGCTGACATGGAATGTACTCTGTCGGTGACGGTGTTGTGGTATTTATCTCATCAAATGATCTATTATTTATTTCTTCCTTTTAAAAACTGAAACTCAAAGAAAGTCATGAAATCAGTCAATGTGCCTGGCACAACAAAAACATTTATTAAAGTATGAGGCCTTTATGGCTGACTTGAGTCTTTAAATGTTACCTGTTTCCATGGTAACACCAGCAGTCAAAGGAAAACGGACGTTATCTTAATTGTTTCCTCTTTAAACACCTTCACAGGTTTCAATGCAGATTTTTAAAAAATGTGTTGAATTTTCATTCCAACACCCCCACTCTTCCCCCCCCCCCCCCCCCCACACACACACCCATGTTGTAGGTAAGACCTTATCTGTGCATTCCCATGATTCCTAGCTGCAGTTCCTGTTGACATTCTTTCATGCCAGCTGTGGCAGGAGAGCCAGCACTGCTCTGGTTTTGTCTCATTTTCCAGTATATTTTTCTGCACACAACAGCTTTTGCTACTCTCACAGCTTTTCTTTTATCTTACTTCTCCTGTAATCTGTATACATTTAAATTATTATTTTTTTCTTTCAAAAAGGGTTTTTATAGCAATACTCAGAGGTCAAAACATTGTTAGTCTCTTTAAATCAGTCCAGCACAGATTAGAGGTATCACAAAACAACTGTAGGAACAAATTTTGGATAAATATGACTGAAGATTCCATCAAGCGATAACATTAAGACCAGGGCTTAATTTGAGCCTTATTTTGAAAGGGTGCGTTCCAGTAACTGTTTGTTTGGATGCGGTAACTCTCAGGCTTACTAATAATAAAGTTATAAACAAATTTGACTGCCTTGAAGGAATAAAACTTATATTGGATATGTAATCTGAAAATAATTACATAAACACCAATTATAAACATAACAGACACTTAGGAGCTTCTTAATATCACATACAGGTAAGAGCTGCTCCTTCGAGTAAGCATTTCTGCTTCGACCCTTGAAAAAGATCTCCGCCCCTAAAAGTACAGTCATGGGCAATTGGGATTATTTATTAAAAATACAACAAGATAAATGTTTGATTGTTGGGGGGTGGGAGGGTCTGGGGGTCCTCCCCCAGAAAATTCTGAATAAAGTAGATGCAATTTCCTGCATTTTGTTGTATTTGAACAGGTTATTATACATCTAGGTTTACCTACATTTGTAAACACTCTCCGCTTCTGTCAAGCATCCTAACCCCCACCCCGCCCTTACTTGATGGTTCCAAGTCCGACTGTCACTGCTCATTGTTGTCCGACTCCACATGTGAAAGCTCCAGGCGCCTCCTCCATCTGGGCTCCTGCCCGCGTACGACTTGCCTGGTCAGTTCAGCACTCACCCCCACCACTCTTTTAGGGATGGAGATGTTTTTAAGGGTAGATGTGTAAATGATACTTGAAGTGGCAGCTCTTATGCAATATTAAGAAACTTGTGAGTGGCTGCTGTGTTTAAAATTAGTGTTTGTGTAATTCTTCTCTGTTTATATATCCAATTTGCTCAAGGCAGTCAAATTTGTTCATAACTTTATTAGAAGTAGCCTTAGAGTTACCGGATCCAAGCAAACAGTTACTGGAATGCACCCTGTCAAAATAAAAGAGTTCTTGGATCCTGTTCCGGCACAAATTAAGCACTGGCGTGCTCTATTCATATACCTATGTAGGTAAACATAGACGTTTAATAACCCATTAAAATACACCAGAATGCAGGAAATGGCATCTACTTTATTCAAAATTTTACAAATTAAGCACTAATTAAGACACCTGTTTGTTTAGGACAACTTAAAAAAAAACAACAACATAACAACAGTTGTGCATCTCTCCAGGTCTCACCTTCATGCCAACAGCAGCAGCAGGTCCACCAGGGTCCACAGCTTGGACGTGACAGGGTTTGCTGCCTCGCACCACAAAGCCCCAGCCCACAGCATCACCAACAATCTGCGAAACAGAAGAACTTGTTCAGAACTGGCTGGAGATCTAGAGAGAGGGTTCAGAGTTTAGATGGTCAAGAATTCAAGGCCTTGCATTTCTTGAAAAAAAATGCACATTGCCCACCACCTTTCACGCAATAAAAAGATCATCTTATGATGAGAAATGATGGAGTTCTAGCCACTTTGGTCAAATTGTTTACATTCTGAGCTGCAGTGCTATACAGTAATAAAACTGTGGTCATAAAAATAACTCCTGTACAAAAAAAAGTATTTATTTTAAAGCCTTCATGTAAAAGTGTGATAAAATGTCTACAAAGCAATACTAATTAAAAAAAAAAAATATATATATATATATATATATATAATGCAAAATAAGTGATTGCATAAATGATCACCTTCTTTAAAGGGACTGTCCTAATTCAACCGGGAGAAAGAATGATTGAAAATACAAGTCTGAGGATCGACACAAAAGGATTTCTAAGACCCTAAAAGTCCCCCGGAGTTCTGTTAAATCCATCATCAAAAACAATTAAAGGTATGTGGGACATATGTTATTCACAAAGTGGCTGTGCAAGAAGGAGAATAATGAAAGACATCTGTGAGCATGCTGAAGGAGTTACAAGTTTCAGCAGAGGAGATGTTGCCCTGGTTCTTATAAGGAGAGTAGAAAGAGAAAGCCCCCATTGAAACAAAAACATAATAAATCTTAACTATTCTCTAAACCACGTACCAAACTCAAGGCCCGTGGGCCAGATGTGGCCCACCACGTCATTTTAAGTGGCCCGCGAGAGGTTAGAAGGTCTGATTGTCGTATAATAAATAAGTCAAATGGTGCACTGACAACAAACGACATTTCCCATAATGCATGTCAATTTTGTTACCCACGAAGTAACAGCATCCCACCACTAGACTGCAGTTTTTCCACATCAATATAATTTTTCGAATAAGTGGAATTCAGAAATACAAACAATGATCCCAAAATGTTCAGGAAGAGAAAAGCTGATGCAGATGGAAGGCAGTTTCAAGAAAGATGGGAAGGCGAATATATGTTTGTGCTTCAAGGAGAAAAACCAGTATGTCTTCTGTGTTACGAGGCAGTGGTGGGCGTCAGAGTACAATCTATGTCGGCATTTTGACAACAAACATGGAGCTAAGTATACCAAATTGAGTCTTCAACCCTAATGTAGTTATTTTGAGTTTATTATACTTATTATTTACTTGTTATTATACTTCAGGTTTATGTGTTTATGCAGGTAAATGTTTTCTATAACAATACCATTTCTCATTAGTTGGATGTATGACCCTTGCCAGGCTGTGTGCAGCCTTTTGTTTTTGGTAAAACCTGTCACACATGTTCTTACAGCTTACAATTGTTGGTTGGACCATTATTCTGCCCCTCTATGACAAAAAAGTTTTGAACAAAGTTAATATCATAACTTGTTATTTTTCCTTATTCACTTGGAAAGTTGTATCATTGATTTATGGAGTAATGTAGGTTTCATAACCTGACAAATTAAAAGATTTTATGTTGTAACAGCAGCAGACATGTTTTTCTACATCTATGCAAATATATATATATATGTAATATTTGTAAGTTGAATAAGTAAAAAATTCCGAGTTACTTAAAATTAATGGGTAGTTGCATTTATTTTACATTACATTTAGTTAAATTTAGATACATTTATGCTGTCTTACAGTTACATCTGGCCCTTTGAGGGCAACTATTATGCTGATGTGGCCCTCAGTGGAAATTAGTTTGACACCCCAGCTCTAAACAATCTAGGCAAACAATAGTTTGTAGAAATGTTTGCCTATTTTAAAGTGGCTGTCCTAATTTAACTCAGAAAATGATTATTGCTTATTGTACAACACATATTTTTATTTAATTGGTATTTCTCTGGAGATATTTGATGTCACTTTATTGCTGAAGGAGTTGTTTTTATTTATTTATTATGTCAAGAAGGCCAGTTTAAATTGACCATGATGGATTTAAGGCAGCAACAAAAGCGTAAAACATCTAAGGGGTGGCACTATCTGTGGAAAGTTACTCTCCCGTGATATCAAACTTTAGTTTCAGTATAAGTTTCAATAAAAACACATACAGTATGAGATAACTTGCTAACACAACAGACAAACACACACAAGCATGCAAACACATTAAAAAACAACACTGCCCTGATAATGTTTGTTGCCTGCCACTAAAGAGAAAACAAGAAATTGTCTACTTGAACCTGTAACTGATGTTTGCAATTATTGATGTGTCCACGTATGAACATCACCGTGTTTTTGCATGCACTCAGAAACATGCATGAGTGAGGGTGTGTGTGTGTTCCTACAGTGAATGTCTTCTTTATAAAAGGGCCTCCTGGTGTCAGCAGCTCCTCTGGACTCACTTGTCTTTTCACAACTGTCAAGAAAAACAGAACAAAACAGACGACAGTTCCACGTGCTTCATTAGCGGAGAGACAAAGATCATCCTGAACCTGAGTGTGCTCTGATAAACGACTGATCAGAAATGAGTCGACCTAACGTGAAACGATTTCCTCTTTGGAAAGTTGAATCTTCACATTATTTGAGCTGTGCACAACTTTTGTTCTGGTTCTGCTCTTTTTCCAGCACTTTTTAGCTTATTTCTGCTAATTTTAGCTTTTTCTGCTTTCTCAGCTACATTTCAGCTATGCTTCTGCTAATTTCATCTTTTTGGCTACTTCTCAAATAAATTTAGCTTTTATGTGATCCTTTCAGCTTCTTTCTCCCTATTTCAGTTTTTTCTGCTCTTTCAATCTTTTTAAGCTAATTTCATCTTTTTTGTGATTGTTTTTTGCCAAATTCAGCTGATTTTCTGCTAATTTAGCTGTGCTTTGCTCTGTTACGCTTCTTTCTTGCAATTTCAGCTTTTTTTTTTTGTAGTCCTTTTTGTTCATATCTGTTAATTCAGGCTTTTACGCTCCTTTCAGCTTGTTTTGTTCATTTCAGCATGTTTCTGCTACTTTTAGCTTGTTTCTGCTAAGTTCAGCTCTTTTCATCTTTTTTCAGCTACTTTTTGGTACATGCATTTGTGATAGATAAATAAATGTAAAATGATAAAACTTGTAAACTGGGAGCATCTGAAAACAGCTCATTTTGCTACATTTTTTTTTTTTTTTTTTTTTTTGCTGAGTGTGTTACAATTTTAGACTCAGTCTTCACACCTTGTGATACAAAAAATAATTTTAAAGAGGAAAATATCAGAAACATGTTTCTGTGTGTGCAAATACATCTGCCTTCATTTTACTGTCTGTTGCATGTGTTACGTTGAGCTGGTACAAAAAGACACTCAGCTTAAATTAAACATTCAAAGAAACCTTGAAAAAAGACTAAAGTAAGAAAACACACTCACACTGCTCCAATTCATAACTTAAAAAATAAATCACTTAGATGGCAAATGACTGGGTAAAAGCCGTTTTTGTCTATAGTAAATAAGTTTGTCCCTTAATAATGTTTTAATTAAGATTTTAGGGAAAAAAAACTGTAAGGCTAATTGGAAGTTGTTTGTATTTCTAAATGTACATTAAACTAGTTTCAGAGGTGCAAATATTATTCACTATAAATTGTAAAATCAATATAAAAGTTATCCTAGAATTAGCTGATTTTATGCTTTAATCATTGACTTTGGTCAAAAAAAAAAGTCAAAAGAAAGCACAAACATCTACTGAGATGCAGATGTTTCCACTTATGTTAATGGTACCTAAAGTCAAACTATGATTTATTATACTTCTAGAATTGAACAGATAATAGCTGCATGATGAGGACCCATACCGCCTTCGTTCCATCTTACCAGACTTAGGGTTACAGAGGACAGGTGGACTGCTGCTGAGTGTGGGACTGCTGCTGAAATAACCACTGCTGCCACAGCTGCTGCTCATGCTGCTCCGCCGAGCTCCGCCCGTCACCTTGATTTCTTTAGTGGGACTCACTGGACAAAAGGATGGACATATTAAAGTGAAAGGCAGAAGGCTAAAAAAAAGCAATGAAGCTATGAAAGAAAACCGTTTATACTCTGACAATTTCTAACTCAAGTAATAACCATCATCCGTCCACATGTAGTCACTTTAGGGCCACACAAAAAGCAAATTTGCTCATTTTTAAATTATTCAACCTTTCTAGATAAAATCATTGTGTTGAGATAAAATCCTTGTGTTGGGATTGAAATTAAACAGAAAAATAAGTTCAATCAAATTTTATACCTATTTGAAATTTCCAGTTTATTGGATGCTGTGACATTTATTTGTACAAATTGCAACACACACACACAGAGATCAATATATAGATTGTTATTTGATCATCATCTGAACCAATCGGTTCAAAGCGTATCGGAGTGAGCAAACTTTCTGTGTCACCTATGGTGAACATGTGTCCTCCTTTGCTCCTCGCTGGTGTCCCACAGGGTTCAGTTTTAGGACCACTTCTCTTTTATTTTATTTACCGTACTTCAGCTTGGGTCTATTTTTTGAAAGTACAGACTTTCTTTTCACTTGTATGCAGATGACTGTCATGTTTATGTCCTCTTGACAAAAAGGACTAATTTTCCTCCAAACCACTACAAAAATGTCTCAAGGACTTAAAGATCTGGATGGGTCTAAACCTCTTGCATTTGAATGAGAAGACAACTGAGGTTATGTTTTTTTGGAACCTTCATTGACATCCCAGATGTAGATCGGCATTCCTTGGCTCAATACAGTAAGTCAGTGATCACAAACCTGGGTGTTAAAGTTTATAATGATTTTAAAAATTGATAATCAATCAGAGTAACAGTTAAATCAAGCTTTTCAGTTGAGGCAGCAGGATAAAATCAAGTCATTTCTTACTGTGCAGATCCACAACTTCTCCTCCTCCACCATAACCCTCAGCACTGACTCCCCTCAGGGATGTGTGTTGAGCCCCCTCCTGTTCACTATGCTCACGTATGACTGTGCTCGCTACCTATTCAGGCTGTCATATTGTAAAGTTAGCAGACAATACAGAGGTGGTGGGATGCATCACAAACAACGATTAGTCCAGCTGCAGACAGGAGGTGGAACACCTGGAGAGCTGGTGCAGGAAGAACAACCATTCACATCGTGTGAAGAAGACGAAGGAGATGGTTGTGGACTTCAGACGGAGCAAACACACCTACACCCCCAACACCCCACCACCACGAACATAGGAGGATCTGCGGTGGAAGTGGTCTCCAGTTACAAGTACTTGGATGTGCTCCTGAACAACAACCTCAGCTGGGGCAAAAACACCACCAGCCTGATCAAGAAAGCTCATCAGAGATTTTACTTCCTCAGACGGCTGAGACGAGCTGATCTGGGAAGCTCCGTCCTCACCTCCTTCTGCAGGTGTGCAGTGGAGAGCATCCTGTGCGCCAAAATCAACGTGTGGCATGGAGGCTGCACAGCTGCAGAAAGAAAAGCTTTGCAGAGAGTGGTGAAGGCTGCACAGAAGCCTGTTGGAGTCAGTCTCCCCACCATCACAGACATCTAAACTTCCATATGCAGGAAGAGGGCCACCTGCATCATGAAGGACCCCACTCACCCAGCACACACTCTTTTTGCCCCGCTCCCCTCAGGAAGGAGGTTGAGGAGCATTAAGTGCAGAATCATTAGACTGAGGAACAGCTTCTACCATGAAGCTGTTAGACTTATGAATCTCTAACCAGAATCATCACTATGGAAAAAAAATAAAATCACTTTAATGCCACTTTAATTGATGGTATGTGACTTATCCGTGCTGCTGATCTCATGCTGCTGATCATCTCATGCGGTTTCTCTAAACTGAGCTCATTCTAAAAGCTATCTGCAAAAGGTAAGATATTAAGTGGTCATTACATTTCACAAAACCTCCACTTCAAAAGATCTTAACTTGTTTTGTAATGTTATAATGAAAGTCAAGTTGTTTTACTCTCTTCTTCCACCTAGCAACACAGACTTGATTACCCTGTTATCTTTATATGGCAGAAAGAAATCCCAAGGCCAGCAGAGTTATGGCTGTGTGTCTGTGTTTGGATGTTTGAGTCCACACAAGATAAGACAAATGAGCTAAATACATGATCAACACAGAAAAACAAGGCTAATTTCGAGCATCTTAAAGTAAATTGCTCTCTGAATGTCCACACAAATTCAGTAATATATTCAAAGTTAAAAGAGTATAGAGGACAACATGTAGCATTCTTTTTCTGCGAGGACTTTTGTGTGTGAAGTTCACCATATACCTGACAGGAAGCTGGTGTTGCCCCCGTCCGGCTGCTGTTTACGCAGACAGAAGGGGCTATCATGGCTCTCAGGGATGCTAAGACTGCGCTCGTGAAGAAGCTCGATCAACCGCCGCCGTCGCCGGAAGTTCATCCTGAACTGGTAAAGGAGGGGCCCGCTGACAAAGTGATGCTTATTGGTGACTAAAAAAAAAAAAAAAGAAAAGAAGTGGACACAAGGACATGGAAGATATTCTGTTACAAAAATAAACAGCAAGAAATACGATCTGTTGGATGCAGGAACTGATTTAACAATATCCTAATATTAAATTTTAAAAACATAACTTTTAAAAGTTCAAGGGTTAAAAGGTTCAAGTTGATTGTAACAAATAAATCATGAATTCAAAAAACGTTCAATACAAAAACAACTGGACTGACTGAGAATCTTCACCAGCAAACAAATCATGAACTTAAGCTACATCTAAGGTCTTGCAGCCAAGGAATAATAATCTAAAGAACTAAAGTAATAAAACAGAGCTGAACAAACACAAAAAGCATCAGCCTTAGTTATCTACACAGGCTAGATAAGACCAAGTGTTAGTAAAATGTAGACTTGTCAAGGTGAATATAAACCCCGCACACTGGTTTATTTATCCTCAAAGGCAGCAAAGCCTGTCAGTTTCATGTCTGAAAATGGAATTAAAATATATATGTATAATGTCTTTTTTTAATGTCTAAATCCTCTTAGAGTTAACTTTTTATCTACCCTGACACACTTCTCAGAAACTTGCAGGAGTTTCTCGTGTCTCTGTGTTCTTATTAGATAAGACTCTGACAAAAGGAACTGTTTTATTAAGAGGCTGTGCTGTAACGTCATCTCCAAACTATTTTAAACCAATATGGATCATTTATAGTGAAGATTTTATTTAAGAAAAAAAATTACATAACATCTTCAATTGTATTTTTTGTCATTTAAATCAAATGATAAGCTCAGAGCTGGTCTAAGGATGGCTAAAAGCAAACAGACTGGTGCCACCTTTAAAACAACTTGTCTCAAAAACTTCACCAGGTTCACAAAAATGCTATTTTATAAACTTTTATTTGGCTGTTAAATTCACAACTACATTATTATGCACAAAGACATAGAATATGATATTTTTGTTTCCCCCCAAGACCAACAGTATGAACATCTATTCAAGTTTTTTAGACAAGAGCTGTTTTAAAATAGCAGCAATCCACTTGGGCTGTTAGCTCGTCAGTTCAATCAGAAATAAAACTTTTTCACAGAACCCCACTTCAAAAGATCTGAACTATCCTTTTAATAATAAACATTTTGTTGCTTTTTTGAATTCATGTAATATGTTGGTATTATCTTTATGTCATATTCCAAAAGCCTGTTCATCATCTTCATGACAGAGCAGTTACTTCCTCGGGGAGGGTGAAGCTGTAAGGTCCATGAGGCCAACAGGAAAAAGATTAGGCTCTATCACATAACTAACATATAAGACTGCCTTTGTGTGTGTGTGTGTGTGTGTGTGTGTGTGTGTGTGTGTGTGTGTGTGTGTGTGTGTGTGTGT